AGAGTTTGTAAAATCGTAGTAAATTCGTGTCGTGTGTGACTGCCTCCGTACGATTTTCGGATAAACTCAATCGTGACATGTGCCAGAGCTCACGACGTTCCGACCTTCAGAATCACACTGTGTACGCCCGCCTTTACTGAATGGCTTTAAAAAAAACGTTATTTTTAAAACTTTATTTAAAAAAGCGTATTGTTTGAGTTTAGTGTGCCACTTTTATGGTCGTTTTTGAAGTTTGACAGCCCCAATCTCTATTTATATTCTTTGTATGAAAATGATCTTTAAAATCAAAAGCCAAAAACATCTTTAAAAATTCACAGAATTTTTATGGAAAGTTAGAAAGTTTGTAGTCAGAACAATTTTCAATGTTTTTTGTCTCATATGTTCACTAAGGTTGCATTTATTTAATTAAAATTGCAGTAATATTGTGAAATATTATTAATATTTAAATAGCTGTTTTATATTTTAAAATGTCATTTATTCTTGTGATGCAAAGCTGAATTTTCAGCATCATTACTCCAGTCTTCAGTGTCACATGATCTTCAGAAATCATTCTAATATGCTGATTTGCTGCTCAAGAAACATTTCTGATTAGTATCAATGTTGAAAACAGTTGTGCTGCTTCATATTTAATACTTTTTTCAGGATTCTTTCATGAATAGAAAGTTCAAAACAACAGCATTTGTTTCAAAAGTCTTTTGTAACAAGTCTTTTCTGTCACTTTTGATGAATTTAATGCATACTGAATAAAAGCATTTATTGCTTGAACAGTAGTGTAATTTTCATATTTAGGTGAAATTTAAAACTAAAATTAGTAGAAATGTATTTATGGTATGTTGTTTAATGTAATTAAGGTGTAACAGGATGAGAAACATATGTTTATATGAGCAATCAAAATGATGATTAACAATACATCAGCCCACCCGTGACAATCCATTACCCTTCATAAATCTTGAGCTGTTGTGTCTGTTAACTTTGTTTTTCTTTGGTAAAATGAAAGATGTCTCAGTGCTGAAAAAGTCAAAGTTAAGATGGCAAATTTGCGTGGTCTTTGAGAAGACAGTGAGTTAATAGCTTCAAGAAAAGTAGTGTGGCATGAGTAATTGTCTCTGGCTCACGTTCTTTTGTCTCCCGTCCCAGGTTGCTCACAATGGCCTTATTTTGGAAATGGACCACCCAACATCAGGAAGGATAGCAGTGCCAGGTTTGTATAGAATTTGCTGTTGGTGAAGTGCAAAATATTCTCTGCAGTCCCAATGTCGATCACTTTTAAGCATGTATTCCAAGGTAAAGCTGAGATCTGCATATTAGAAACCAGGGTCGAAAATCTTAGGGCAAAAATGCCACCAAGATGAACATAAATACCTCACAAATTCAAGATAAATGGGCAGAAATTGCCCCTGCATAATTAAACTAAATCTATTATGGCTGTAAAATGAAATCACAGCATTTAGACCTGCGCACGCTGCATCAGATTGCTTTTTACGCATTGTTTTTTTGCAGCGTTGAGCCTTATAACCAATCACACGTTTCTGAATGCAATGGCCAATCAGAGGTGATTAGAGTAGTCAGCACTGAAAACACCAGAGTTTTGTTGAGTGCGCACAAGAAATTAATTTCATGAGAGATTCATTTTGCAGCTTCAGTGATTATATCCGGAGTTTTTGCATAACTTGCGCTAGACTAAATTAACGTCATGAACCGACATGTTTGTCTGTGCAGGCAGAATATGATGTGCCATTTCCCCTAACATTTCTATTAATTTACATTAATAATAATTATTACAATGTCAAGAGCAACAATCAATAATAATGCGTTTTGTCATAATATTGCAACCCTATGACTTACTGTTTTTTTTTTATTTTTTTATAATTTATACAGTTTCAGTTTGTTGTTATTGGTAACAGTTTAAATTATTCCGATTCATTGAAGTAGCTGGTTAAATTTACCAATACAGTTAATAAGGTAACTATAAAAATTGCCCTGACAAATGTAAAAAAAAAAAAAAGAAATCCCTGGAAATCAATTCCTGGGGGCAAATACAGTATTGCCCCTTAATGCAAAAGTTCATTTCTGACTCTTTCAGGAACACATCCCGTTTCTAAAACCGTTCACCCAAAAAATTTGAATCTGTCATTATTATTCAAAATGTGTATGGAACTTTTATCATTGGAACACAGAAGGAAACACTTTAGAAGAATCCTCACGCAGCTTATATTCCAAGTCTTCTGAACCAACTAAGTTTGGAACCACATAAGGATCTTGTAAATAAAAGTGTGATTTTCATTTTTTGGGTGAACTCTTCCTTTAACCTCTGTACACTTGAACTTTCTATTGCTTTCTATGCTATCTCTCCAAAAATCACCCATGCACTTAATCTCATCGTCCAGATCCTTGGACTTTGAAGAGTTCTATTTCCCTTTGTGACTCTCTTGTAACGAACAATGGCGACTCATTTATTTTGATGCTTTGTTTTGACTTGTTCAATGAAATAAAAGTTTCTCCATTGACATGAAAGTCACCCCATGCTCTTTCATTCTCCGGCGTGAGAGTCCCTGAGAGATGCTTTCTGAACTCGTCCTTTCGTTTGATCGTCCGCATATGCGAAACAAGCAATCATTGATCCCCAAAACGGACAGGTCTGCGGTCTGCTGAGCGTTTTGCCCCTAGAAAAGAATGTCGAACGGAAAGGCAACATTTCAGAAAGGTTAAATGCAGATGTTGGCTGTTGTTAAGAACGTACAGTAATTTTTCTCTCAGCGACTCGATTCCTGCTGTTTCCATGGCGCTTCACATGTCAGATCCTGACGGACTCACTCCAGACAGGTGGTTTTACTAACGGCGAATTTAGTTGCGGTTTGCAGCTCTGTAAACACACAAATACACGCCACTTACGTAGACACCAGCGTACGATCCCTGCTAATGATCTATGCTTTGTCCCTTCAGTGACTAAAAAGCAAACACTGGCAGGAGCGGACCGCTAATGGTTTTGTCATGGCTAGTTGGTTAAACCTTACAAAGAGTCTGTTTACTTCCTTTTACGAACACCACAGCAAAGAGCCATCCTCACCTTCCGCAATTTTATCATTTCTGCGTGCACCAAAAATGCAGTTCGAGTTGCGCTCCAACGAATTCTGCATGCTTCCACAACCACAAAACAAATGCATTCTGCGTCAGCTGTCCCTGGGGTGATACCCGGGATAATCAGGCGGGTCCTTTGATGGCTACGAATGGTTGTTTACCAGTTCCTCGTTTGCACGTTTGTTGTCTCCATCCGAGCCAAATCAAGCATGATTGTGAAGAATTTCTCCGAAAAAAAGGGCAGAAACCACAACAAACACCTTTTTCCATTCCGCATTCCTCATCCCTGACCCATAAAATTCTCTACAACGGCACAACGCACACTCGAGGCCTTTAATCTTCCACTTCTATTTACATAAGATCACTGTCTGTCCGTGTTTTCTGTCTGTCTTCTCACTGCACATGTGGAGCGTTTCCCGCCTTTGGTGACTCTGTGATGTTATCAAACGTTTTGCAGTAGATAAGCTGTGCGTTTCTGAGCTCAGCGGTTGGTACCTTGCTATTTATTCCCTCTAAACCCCAACATTGTCCTTCGCATCAAATGTGCAGAACCAGAAATGGAGTCCCGAACAACATAGGCGCGAAATTGGCCATTAGCTGCCGTCGACTGTAAGCAAGGGTTATGTAATGGATGTCAGGGGTGCATCAGAGTTGAATAAGCCCAAAATGGCTTGACGAAACAATCTGAGAGCAACAAGTGTTATCGGATTACATAATCAAAAACTTACTAATGACCACAGAATAACGATAACAGAGTCCTTTGTGGGTGAAACTACAGGAATGCATGTTAAGAAACATCGTCCGGCTTTTTTTACGGCGAAACGAGGACGAAAAGGGCTCAGAGGATGTTTTTGTGCCGCTGATTGCGAGAAACTGCCTCATTAGCGATTGTGCAGGACAGTGTATTGTGAGGCACTTCCCAAAATAAACCCCTTTATTTAAACCAAAGGCTCTTGGCAGAAGCTTCTTGTTAGCTGAGTTTGCGGCTCTCTGTGATGCTGCAAATCTGACCGGCTAAGGTGAACATTTGATGATGTGGGAAAGGTAAAAGAGAAGCATGTATTTGTGCATGTGTAGAATAATTAGAGCATGAACCAGTGTAGTATTGCAGCAGACTCTAAGTTTGACTTCCTCCCCACAAAAAAAATAATCAGCATTTTTGTTTTTCAGCAGGAATATGTAAATGTCCTTAAAAAACCCACCATAGAATTATAATAAAAGTTGTCTATATGTCTGTTGTAGTATATTGCTGGTCTTCTTGAATCATACGGTAGTAAACATTTATTTTTGCAGAGTTTTTTCAAGCTTTGTTCTTGTACGTATTGTTGTTATCGTTCTTTGTGCGACTGGGCCCTTATTGTATGACCTAGAGCTGTGTAACAAAGTTCAACAAAAAATCAACAGAGTATGGGTTTGGATTGACACGGCGAGTAAATGATGTCCAAAAAGATCAACTAATTTGATTTCAAAAATCTTCCGCACTTTTAGCTATAATAACAGTACGCAAGTATTACAAATAATGATTAGGATTCATGACCAATTAAAGTTAACCATCTGTAATTCTATTATCAGGGTAATTGCTCTTATAGTTCTTGGCGTGTAGTTTTATTGCGCTGTTCGGTGAAATGGCCCACGCCGTTGGGTTTCCTCGCTGCTGCTGCTTCTGCTTCTGATGCTGGGAGTTGTTCTTTTCCTGATGTTAGCAGGTTTGATGTGTTCCGTAATAACACATTGATTTTTCCCATCCTCTAGAATGTTATGTAATTGTTCATATATTCTGCAAGAACACGTAAATGCTGGTGCACATTATGTGCTCTTCAGCTGTCAAACCCAGAGAACGATACGCCAGCTCTAAACTCTGCAGCTCAACTTTCTGAAGTGTGAAGACACGGCGTGTGCTCTGATGTAGCAAGACTCCTATGAATCACACAATTCTGCTTTTTGAAGTTTCTGTGGTGATCAGTGGTCAGAAATGCACAATGAATCACTCTAAATTCTGGCTTACGCTAAAGGAGAAGCAGAACAAGTCTTGTCCATGTTCGGGCTGGAATATCTGGTAATGTGAGGTGTTTACAGCTCAGATCTTAAACCTCCCAATCTGCTTGCAGATCCACCCCATTGTTATCACGATTACTATATACGGTTTACACGGTTATATGATTACTTCATCAGATTACTACAAGTTACATTATCAGATTACTTTTTCAAGTAACTAGTAAAGTAACGCATTACTTTTAAATTTACAAGAAAATGTCTGAGATATTTTCAGATAAGTAATGCAAGTTACTTTTTTCACATTTATTAGCTCTCCTGTGCCCGTGTTGAGAGAAATCAGGAGTGAAGTGCAGAGGCAGAGCCACTTCCTTCAGCCTTATCTATCTATCTATCTATCTATCTATCTATCAGGAATATGTAAATGTCCTTAAAAAACCCACCATAGAATTATAATAAAAGTTGTCTATATGTCTGTTGTAGTATATTGCTGGTCTTCTTGAATCATACGGTAGTAAACATTTATTTTTGCAGAGTTTTTTCAAGCTTTGTTCTTGTACGTATTGTTGTTATCGTTCTTTGTGCGACTGGGCCCTTATTGTATGACCTAGAGCTGTGTAACAAAGTTCAACAAAAAATCAACAGAGTATGGGTTTGGATTGACACGGCGAGTAAATGATGTCCAAAAAGATCAACTAATTTGATTTCAAAAATCTTCCGCACTTTTAGCTATAATAACAGTACGCAAGTATTACAAATAATGATTAGGATTCATGACCAATTAAAGTTAACCATCTGTAATTCTATTATCAGGGTAATTGCTCTTATAGTTCTTGGCGTGTAGTTTTATTGCGCTGTTCGGTGAAATGGCCCACGCCGTTGGGTTTCCTCGCTGCTGCTGCTTCTGCTTCTGATGCTGGGAGTTGTTCTTTTCCTGATGTTAGCAGGTTTGATGTGTTCCGTAATAACACATTGATTTTTCCCATCCTCTAGAATGTTATGTAATTGTTCATATATTCTGCAAGAACACGTAAATGCTGGTGCACATTATGTGCTCTTCAGCTGTCAAACCCAGAGAACGATACGCCAGCTCTAAACTCTGCAGCTCAACTTTCTGAAGTGTGAAGACAC